CTCTTCGACGACTGTGCAACATTCTTCAAAGCATCTGACATCGACCAAGCCCTAGTCGACCTTTCGTAGCTAAGAATCTTCTCACGAACTTCTTTGTAAGTTGTCCCTTCATCAACTGCAAACGTGAGATGCTGTCGAATGCTTTCAGGACAAACTCGAAGCAACACTCCTAAGAGTACGTCTCGATAGAATGCTTTCGACCTCAAAATGTCATACTCCTGCACCAGTGCCTCCAAACCAGCCATCTGTTCAGCCAGCTTTCCAATCTCCATCATGGGGAAGTTCGTGGTGGCCTGACTCAAAGACAAGGATCTTTGCCTCGTAGCCGGTGCAAAATGGTCAGATAAAGCCTTCCACAACTTGAAACCATTTCGTTCCTCTCCTTGTGCACGGGAAAGCTGTAAACTGCTTCCTTTGAGGTATGATGTGAGTATAGCGTATAGTTTCCGTGCAACGTCCCACTGTTCATCGCTCCAACCTTCATCATCAACTTCAACATGGGGTTCGAGCTTCTCTATATCTCGAATTCCTTCAAGAAATTGCTGATTTGAATAGCTCAACCAATTCAAGAAAGAATGCCGCCAAACAATCCATGTTGAAGCGTCACTTGAATCAAAAGTTTCAGGAGACTTAAGGATCTTCGCTGCTGATTCGAGGTTCCGGGCCAGTGAGGACGATGAACCACCTCCTGCATTCGAAATCAACTCAGGGAGCCTTGCCATGACGGTTGCAGTGTGTTCCGCCATCCTATTCTGTCTTTGCAACATGTTGTCGAACGCTCCCATCAATTGTGTGAACTGTTGTTCATCCATGCTCTCAACCGTCCAACTGCAAATGATCAAACAGAAAATCTGTAAACCCCTTTTGTTTCTGTTCCAATAAAATCGACGTAAATTGCTCTCTCCACACTGTCGTTTCTTCGTTTGGATGTTGTGTCGACGTTTGTTCAGGCTCAAGCGCTTGTCTCGGGCTTCTCCAACTCGTGTCCAAAAGGAAAACACGTGGCACTGCAGCAAGATCTGGAGTCCACGCTCAACAACTCTTTCATGCAGCCACTTTTCAGCTTTCGTCCACTTACCTGTCAGAAACAAAGTCACCGACCAAGCCTCAATGTACAATGCACTGCTCGACCAACATTTGAAATCGTCCACAATGCTCAACCAATGTCCAACAATGTTCAACCAAAGCTCATGCCACAACCATTCAATGCACGCGCAAACGACCGACAAGCTGTCTTCTAGATTCGACCAATGCTCAATGACCAACTGTACAACACGCACAACCAAGATCAACCACAACCAACACGCTCGACATGCTTGAAGGTATACTTCTCGATTTGTGCAGGGTTCCATTGCGCGCCCCCGCACCCTGAGCTGCTCACCTTGGGCTCTTTTGGCCACAGGATCCTCGCAGCTCCGCTACCATGTTAGATAGCGAAGCCCATCCCTCGCGCTTGTTTTGGGACTCAAGCGCTGCGGAAGTACGAGTAGTTTTCAACTAGCAAACTGCATCTTCTATACATACTAGTTCATCCAACAAACTCTAACACAAACACATTTAAGTCTTGAACAGTTGTTCCCTTCTCTCGTCTGTCGTTAGCACTCACCAAGAAGCGTTCTAGCTGAGCGAAGAAGAGGAACACGTAGAAAGCAAAACGTAGCACCGCAGCTTTGGTCCGCCGGTGTCTTTTGCCTCGCTCTTTCCACCTTCTTTCCAATCCCTAAGCCGCCTATAGTCCTAAACGTCTTTCTAACCCTTTACTAAACCCTACTCCTTTCATCTCCTTTCTTTGCCCCGCGAGATTTTTACCTGTCTTTCTACACAGTTTGATGTCGTCCTTTGCGTTTCATTTCTCACTTTCTCTTGCAACGGTTATCAGTTTGTCTTGCTTGTCTCCAGGCAACTTTTCATCTGAACACTCAACACATAACGATTCACAAGTTACCCTTTGGGGTTGAGATTTAGTGCATTCGGGTACCACCGATTCTCAGCCTGCAACGTCACCATCTTCGTGAATTCGTAACCCGTTTGGATTCGTGAAAAGTGGAGTACACTCTTTTCCTTTTGCTTTGTAAAACACATTTTGATTTCGCTTTGCAAGTTTGTTTTTTCCCAAAAGCATCTCCGATGCTTGGGTTCTCGTTTAGTCGCTAGTGCCGAGAGAGACTTACGTTGTCGGGGACGGAAGATGGAGGTGGAGGTGGACGGGGACGGGGTTGGGAAGGGAAGAGGGAAGGGAAGGAAGAGGGAGGGGAAGGAAGGGAGGGGAAGGAAGGGAGGGGAAGGAAGGGAGGGGAGCGAGACGGGAGGCGCACGGGTGGGGACGGGGTTGGGGAGGGAATAGATGGAGGGGAGCGAG